CTATCCTAATTCAGCCAGTACTCTGTGAAGGCTAGGAGTAGGCTTCTTCAAGCTCGCTTACTACGTAGGCCTACAGGGTATCTATCTGCTGCTACTCTTCTTTATACTGTATATTATATTATATTTCATAAGTACTCTGCCTGCTGGGGCTCACGTACCATCGTACGCATGTATGTATATATATATATACGTACACACGCGTGTACACGTGTGTGTCGTGTTGCATTCGCTGTACATACAAATGTACAAATGCGTGTGTAACACGTTGTTAACGTGTATAATGTGTTGTCTACAATGTACACGCAGATGTACACATACGTGTATAACATATTGTTAACGTTATGCACACACACACACGTTTGTGTGTGTGTGTGTGTGTGTGTGTGTGTGTGTGTGTGTGTTTGTGTGTGTGTGTGTGTGTGTGTGTGTGTGTGTGTGTGTGTGTGTGTGTGTGAGAGAGAGTGATGTGTCGTTTGTGCAGTACATACATATTATGTACGCGTGTATGATATGTTGCCTACACTGTACATAAGCATGTACATACGTGTGGAACATGTTGTTTTATGTTATACATACACGTGTACATGCGTGCCTGTTGCCTACGCTATACATACATTAAGGATATGGCTGTGGTTCTTGCGGGAATGGTCATTTCATGCTAGATATGCGTACATATGTCATGTATATATGTCCACTTACAGAATATATTGTATAATATTTATATGATATGTATGTACAGTCGTCCGTGCTATGTTGTTATAACATTGTATTATGTAGAATTATTTTTACATAATTCCCACCTCCTCAGTGGTTTTACTTATATTTTCACGATTTTGTTTATGAAATCGAACGTATGAGTTGAAACCTGCATAAGACTTTCTTTTTCAAATGTAACATGTCGTTACGTTATTTAAGATAAGGTATGTTTTATCCTGAAAATGGTCGATAGATTGTTGACCAGTTTAGTCTTTTTTTTTGGTTAAGAAATCTTCAGCTAAGAACACATAATATCCTTGCCATGTCTTAGATGTTTAAAAGAGATGCATTCTTTCTCTTGTTGCTATGTTATGTACATGCATTGTGCTTCTTGTGTGTGGTGACTGATAAATTCTTCAACGTCTTGTGCTGTGTGCCTGTGGAAGCTGCTTGGTGCTAGGCGGTGGGCGAAGGGGGATAGGGAGGATCTCGCGCTAAATGGGCGGTTGGAGGGCACTCGCCTGGTGTGGTGTGGTGTGGTGTGGTCTGGTCTGGTCTGCTCCTTTCACCCCTTTTCTTCTTTCACTTCTTTTCTTCTTTCGTGTCTTTTTTTTCTTTCACTTCTTTTCTTTTGTGTTTCTTTCTCTATTCGTATTGTGTGTTCCTATATGAAGAGGTGTGTCCGTTATTGTGCTGCTGTCTCGCTGCTCACGTCTCTCAATACGGGGTGCCCACTACGGCTGGATCGGGCCGATCGTCCGACTCGATCGGCTGAAACTGAAAAACAAAACAAAAACACGTTTGTTTTTGAGGCGATCGAGTCAGGCGATCGGCGGATCCCATCCGTAGTGGACACCCCATATAAGTCATAACGCTAGTCTCTTGATTGAATGAGATTGTTGTTGTTGTTGTTGTTGTTGTTGTTGTTGTTGTTGTTGTTGTTGTTGTTGTTGTTGTTGTTGTTGTTGTTGTTGTTGTTGTTGTTGATGATGATGATGTCTTTCTGCTGCTGCGGTTGTCTTTCTGCTGCTGCGGTTGTCTTTCTGCTGCTGCGGTTCCTCCTCCTCTTCTTCTCCTCCTCCTCGTCCTCCTTGTCCTTCTCCT